TGTACGTAAAGAAAAAATTGACCTCTTTAAATGTGAATCACAGGCAGCTATATCTGAGCTACTAGCACTATGATCTTGCTATGGTTAAAGGAGAGTAATAAGCACTTTTAGGGCATAATTCCTATTGTAGACATCTGAAACAGGATGACTGAATCACCTGCTCCAGGTGCCAGCATTTCTGTATCGATTATGAAGAGAGCCTTGAGCAACTGCTCAAGTGTCAGCTTTTCCACTGCGGACACTTGAAGCTAAATGAGATGAATCCCAAACCAAACTGAGAGCTGGTCCTTGCAGAAAAACAGTGGGAAGGGACATAAAATCACAAAGCAGTGAGGTTATATGCCCAAATTATATTGGACATCAGAGTGAAAGCCTGAAAGAAAACCAAGCTTTGCCAACCCTCTGTTTAACCACTAACTAGCCCACCCACTAGACTTCACACAAGTTGTTTGTTTCTCCTTTGTTGAAAACAATGTGACATCACGTTTTGAGAGGAGCCTGGTAATAGATAATGACTAAAACCATCAAACCAGAATGTGATCAAAGTTCATTCCTTATTCTCTATGTTGCAAAAGTTTTGACCTGTGATTCTGTGATTCTGTGATTCTGTGATCTGAAGATATATTCTTCCCATTATTTTTCATTTTTGCATTGGATTCGAGAAGAGACTTTAAAAAGCTCTGTACAAGGTAGAAACTTATATCAATTGCATTTGGTTATAATTTTCTATACTGTTCCATTTGTTTTTTTTTTTTTGTTTTTTTTTTTTTTTTGTTTGTTTGTTTGTTTGTTTGCTTGTTTTGCTTTAGTTAATCTTCTCCCATACTTGCTTCAGGATATGCTACTGTCCAGTACACTTCCACTATTAAAAGCCTCCCCTTTATGGCTTGAATTGCCACCTGGTGAAGATAATGTAAATCTTAATATTGTCTTTGAGATTAACCTTTACATACTTTCTCTTCAGGTAATTTGATACTTTATTTTAAATTGCTTGCCTTTAGATATGAAATTAAGTGACTATACCTGAAGGTTTAGTGTTTGAAATAATGATTATATCTAGTTGTAATTGGCTATATTTAATTTCTTGTACCTGAACATTTTATTTAGTTGAATTAACTTTTGAGCTTGGTTTCCATTAAATACTTGTAACCTTGATATTCTTCCAAAAAAAAATAAAAATAAAAAAAAATCCTAGTTTGATCTGTAGCCATCTCCTAATTCCACAAACTAAAGAAAACTAAGATATTTGTCTTTGAGTGGAATGCTGAAAATGTACAGTTGGGCAGAAGGACAAACCAGAAAAAATGTGCTCTATAATTTATTACTTTGCAGTTTAAGCCCCAATGAGATTTGAATTAGGTCAGTGGTATAGTTTATGTTGAAATTTGTTTACTGTAATTTATTTCGTTTAAAATAATGAATTGTTTTGAAAAACACTTTGTACCTTAAATTACCTGTCTTAAAACTGCTATGTTGGTTTGCTTATAAAACCAGTAATGGTTTTAACAGTACTGATGGCTATGTTGTTTTTGATCTTCAGCCTTAACAAGGAATTGCTAAAAACTGTATTCTGCCTTTTGCTGTTGCTTTTCGTCAGTATCCAAAGGTAACTTAATGCTTTAAGCCTTACAGTCATCCTCAGTTCTTTGGGAGAGGGAGAATAAGTGGCAAGGTTTGGAAGAAGAATTTGAAGAAAAGAGAGGAAAGGTAGGGGACGGGTCCCCTTAAGGTTTTCCAATGCTATACAGTACAACTTCCTGTGCATACATCTCTTCAGCTGGGACAGAAAGATCATTCATCATTGAAGACAAGAAAATAGAAAGCTATCTTCTCATTCTGCACTGCTTTCTGTGTTTGCCCCAGCTGAAAGAACACTGGGGAGTGATCTCTAAAGACACTGTGCAAAAAACATGAGCTCATTGGTAGGTCAGGAGTGGGTCTGTGCAGGAAAGAAAGGTTTTCCCCTTCTTTTAGATATTTCTTCAGTTAGGGGTGTCCTGGCTTTGGCTGAGATAGAGTTAATAGAGTTAATTTTCTTCATAGCAGCTGGTATGGTGCAGTGTTCTGGATTTAGGAGAAAACCATGCAGCAAGTCCCTTGTTGTGGGGTTAGACAGGTTTTGTCCTGGACTGTCTGGAAATGTATGATGCCCTCAAGGCAGTAACCGCAGGAGTCGTGCTTTGCCTCTCAGGTGGTGGGAAAAAGAGGAATTGCCTGGGTGGAAGACTCTGGCACTGTCCTACTACTACAGGTGTAACCTATAAAGTGCCGTGAAGGCTTGGAGGAAACTTAATGATGTTGTGGAGCTTTCATAGGGGGAAAAAGTGGATTGCAATGCCTGGTTCTGCTGCCCTCCAGCTGCCTGCTTTTATAGGCAGCTGGTTATATTGTATACATCCCAAGCTGTAATTACATGCAAATATTTGTTCATTTCCCATCCACTTGCACCACTTTCTGAAGGATATTAATACAGTCAATTTCATTTATGCCTATATAAATAACGCTCTGTAAATACAAATGGAAAAATTAAATTTTAGAACAGAAATGTTTCATATTAGCACTTATTTAGAAGGCTAAAAAATGTTGACATCACACCAGCTTCAGTGCTCGCACCGGAGGTGTGCTGTAATTATGTTCAAAAGCCACATTCGGAGTTTCTGGTTCCTCACATCTCTGCCAAGGGGCACTGTCATGGCAGCTGCGGCTTGGCCTCCCAAGGAGAGCCCCAGGTGAGCCTCCTGGAGGCCAGGCAGCCTGGCCAAAGCCTGGAAGCAGCACCCCAGCTCAGCAGTGCCCAGCTGAGCCTTTTGGGTTGCCATGGTGACAACCCCAGTGCAAGTGTCACCAGGAAGGGGATCTGAAACAATTTTTGCTCCAGAAATGAAGATCTGGTGATGCCAACAACAAGGACGGGATAATTTTGTTGTTGTCATCAAGGAACTGCTGACTGAATTTTCTCATTAGCCAGCTGTACATTTTAAAATAAATTCAGGTTCAAGGGGATCACTGCTCTGCCAAGGGAAGTGAAGGGCCCCAGTCCCTCAGGGGTCCTCCATCTTCCCTCAGCTTGGAGTGTCCTCAGATGTGTGCCTCCAGCTCTTCCTGGCTGCGGATCAACTCCAGCTGGAGCCCTAGGCTTTGTCTTTTTTCCTGATTCTAACCTTAACACTGGCCCATATTCACTTCTAACCCTGACATAAATGCACAGATGTTGCCCAAGAAAAGGGTGGAATGCAAAAGTATTCTCACTTGAGTACTTGTTTACAAGAGCTGTGGCTGAAGGACTGGTGCTAACACTCAGGTTTTGCCAAGTTATGTTATACATGTGAGGTTACTGTGACAGGTAGAAGCAGCGAATGGGGCTGAAAAGGAAGGAGTGATCTACACCGAAGTCTCAGGAGAAATGTCTTCTGATACCTTGGTCAAAAGGGACATAGGTAAGGCTTGGCCAAGGGCTAGGGCTCCAGTTGGAGTGTCAGTGCAAAGGGGATGCTGAAGAAAGGAGTAGGGTTCAAAAACAAGCTCCTGAAATACAGTGAACCTGTACAATAGGGCAGTGGTTTGTGGTGCTGGGACAGGGTTCAGGCCAGGCCAAGAGCTACTGTTGGGATAAGGGCTAGGGTTAGGAGAGAGGCAAAGCCTGGGTCTCCAGATGGACTGAAGCTGCAAAGGATCTGCTCAGGAAAGAGGTGGGTGGTGAAAAGAAAAAGGGTCCTCTTGGAATTTCGTTAATGCAAGTCTGTGGGTCTGGAGCTAAAGCTCAGTCCCCTTGAAGAGACTTATGGTTACCTTCAGGGTTGGAGTTAGGAGAAAGCCAAAGCCCAGAGCTCCAGTGTGGGAGGTGTCTAGGGCTAGCTAGACATCATCTAGATGGAGAGGAGCTGCAAGGGGGCTGCCAAAATTGGGGACAGGCTACAGAAAGAAGTAATTCTTAGGGGCTTGTTCTGGAGGACCATGACCAAGGATCTTAGGATAATGCTTAGTCATTGATGTATCATAGGGTTATGGTTAGCACAGAGGAAAAGCTCAGAGCTCCAGTGAGTGTGGAGCTGCCTGCAAAAGAGATTGGCTAAAGACAGAACTCACCACTGAAACTTTGTTCAACAGTACAGTGTTGGGGGGTCTTGTGCTAAAGGTGCAGCTGACACCAAGAGGCCTTTGGTTTTATCTGTGCCTTACCACACCATATCACTCCTGAGAAGTTCTTAGAAATGATATATTTTTGGAGCCCTTTCCTCCCTTTGGTAGCGTCTCCCTCACTGGAACCTTAAGAATTTTTTCTCACCTAACCGTAACCCTTACTATCGGTCTTCTCCTTGGGTAAGCCTTAGCAGAATTTCCCTGACCATGAAGCTGTTTAACAAAGTTTCAGAGGACTTCTGCAGAATCACAGAATCACAGAATTTCTAGGTTGGAAGAGACCTCAAGATCATCGAGTCCAACCTCTGACCTAACCTTAACAGTCCTCCACTAAACCATATCCCTAAATTCAACATCTAAACGTCTTTTAAAGCCTCCTTTAAGGTACCTGTAGCAATAAGGTCGCCCCTGAGCCTCCTTTTCTCCAGGCTGAACAAGCCCAGCTCCCTCAGCTGCTCCTCGTAGGACTTGTTCTCCAGGACTTGTTCTGCAATGCCATGCAGCACTATTTCTGTTTTCTGATGACTGTATTCAGGGTATTCATGGTATTTTCTAATGGTGTCTATTTCACCATACTAATTTATTTTGATGATCATAAATGATGAATTATCTCTGAACATGTCTATGACCTCTGCATTCCAGTGGTGTTAGGATGCAACTTTGTTGAATTTTTGCCTAGTGCAAAAATAATAAAATACAGAGCATTTCTATTGCAGTTGGCAACTTCAGAGAGCTTCATAAAGATAAATCAACTTATGTCTGTTGTATAAATTTTCCTGTAGTGAGCTATGTTTTAATGATTAATCTGACAAGCACTTTTGTAATTTGTACACACACTTTGAAGACAATGAACATAGCAAGAGCCTGAACTAGATCAGAATGTGAGAGTAACACAGACACCCCTCCAGCAGGGGCTCTTTTTTGCCAATATGTCTCTTCAAGTTACTGCTGCTGCTCTAAATGTTAAGTTTGCAAAGGGGCCATAGGTTTGTGGTGGCAGATCAAGCAAACAGTGGTTGCAGCAGTTGGACCAAGTCCAGGAAGATAGGAAGCAACTGGAAAGGAAAGGAGAAGAATTCCTGGATGAAAGGAGCTTGAGTGTTTGCGGGGGAGAGAGGATCTGTGAGTGTCATGGACTCTAAACTACGTCACTGAGGTCCCGGGCAATTATAGTATCCTCTTGTTTCCTTTAACAGGAAAGTACTGAGTACAAATATAGTTGCTTCTCATCTAAATTTCTCCTTAATTAATTAAGAGAGAGCATTTCAGAATCATTCAGTTATATTGTTGTTATTGTTTTTGTTTGTTTGTTTGCTTGCTTGTTTTGTGATTGCTTCAAATGTACACTGAAATATTTCTGCATGCTTGCATGGCTTACATGGCAGTCATTTGGTTTGTCCTGAAGACAGGTGATTGGTTAGTGAAACAGTGTGCTTCTACTTACACTTCAGGGGGAAATGCCTTGATTCCACAATATATTTCTGTAAAAATGCCAGTGAAATATCTTGAAGAATCACAGCCAATGTGTAAATGTGCTGAGTTTAAATAATAATAATAAAAAAAAGTTCATTCTGTGGAAAAGAAAAAAAAAAAGAGAGAGAGAGAGAGAGAGTGAGAATGAACAGCAGAAAGGAACAGTGTGAGAATACAAAGAAGTGGAATAAAATGGACAGTAACCAGGTAGGAGTAGGAAGTGAAGGAAGTAGGAAGTTGGCAGAACAATCTAAATACAGAAGACCAAGTCAAGATTAAAAAGTAAGAGAGACAGCCATAGGAATGGTGAAGACATTGTCAGGAGAACATTATTTAAGTAAAAAAATGCAATCACAGAGAAAAGATAAATTGATCATTATACTGTCAAACACAACCTTCCCTTCACCTGGACATCAGCATCACTGTATTTTGATGTATTTGCTTAAGAACTGGCCTTAGTTTTACTTTTATGCATATCACAAAAATACAGTTCTTATCTGGAAGCTCTTGTCTTAGATTTGTTATATCTGTAGCAGTGTTATAAGAGATATCGTGCCTTGAAGTTCTTCAGAACTAATGTTTCAACAATCTATTGTTTGTGCTTGCTGTGTAAGGGATTTTAATGCCCAATATTACCTCCAGGATGAAGCTATGATTTATCTCTTGAAAATTATGATGAGACGTACCCACAGCTCTCACTCTGATGATCAAAGTCTGCAAACCTTATTATACAAACTGGAGAACAACTTTTTACATGGGCAAATAGTGATAGAACGAGAGGAACGGGTTTAAACTAAAAGAGGGGAGATTTAGATTAGACATAAGGAAGAAATTCTTTACTGTGAGGGTGGTGAGGCCGTGGAACAGGTTGCCCAGAGAAGCTGTGGGTGCCCCATCACTGGAAGTGTTTGAGACCAGGCTGGATGGGGCTTTGAGCAGCCTGGTCCGGTGGGGGGTGTCCCTGCCCATGGCAGAGGGTTGCAACTGGGTGGGCTTTAAGGTCCCTTCCAACCCAAACCAATCTATAAAACTGTGTGTAAGGTTTGACTAAAATACTTGTGTGTGGTTTGATAGCTTGAGGAAGTAGTTAAGTGTTTTATATTGGTTGATGAGGGCTATTCTGGCATGTTTTGCACTGAAACCTTGAAAGTTAAACCATGTGCAGCACAGTGCTGCCATTGCAAGTATATTCCCAGTGTATGAGTTTGTCTAAAGCTGTCTCACACATCTCTGCTCTACCATGCAGCTTGCAGGATTAGCACATGCATAACTTCACACCATAGAGAAAAAAGGACAGGAAAGAGGGAATATGTGTGACTTCCTGGGAATGTCATACTGTGGGCAGTGAAAGCCTGGGAACAGTTGTAGCACAGAGAAGGTTCAAATTAATCTCTGTTATGTTTTATTAACTATCAATAAAAGTTAAAAAAACAAATGTCAGTAAGTGAATGAGTTGAATTTTAACTTAGCGTGTGGTCTGTGCTCAGGGGTTGGGAGAAGCACTTGGATTATTGCTTCTGGACTTTGCCAAACTCAGATTTTAAGATGTGAAACTGAAGAGAACCTGACATGGGCGATGGAAGAGCACAATCAAGTTTATTGAAAGTTATAAAGCAGCTGCAAAGCTTGGCTTCAGTCCTGTAGAAACAGCAGAAACAGTTCCAGCAACAGATGGTCTCAGGCTTTTCATTTATTCAGAGACTTCTTATGTACCTGTCTGTTTCTGTCTGCAGTGGAAGGATGTCACGAGGACACAAGAACAATTGTACTGGGTCAAAGATACACCCAGTCCTGTATCCTGTCTCTGACAGTGGCCAACACTATCTCAGAAGAAAAGCAGCAAGAGCAGTTCCAGGGTAAGAGCCTTTCTCAGTAACCTAGGTTTTGGCTGTGCCTGCAGCAGCAATTTGGCTTGATGGCTTGAATGTTTACTTTCAGTACAGTCTACCATCTACATTGCTCCAACTCTTTAAGTAGCTTTTGTGGGGAAAAAGCGTGTTAGGTTCCAGTGAAAAGCAAAATGAAAGTTTTTATACTAACTGCCTTTCCTCACCGGTGGAGGAGATGCATAGGGCTGAACTTACTTGTGACCCTTGGGCTGTGTAAATGACCACCTGGGAAAAGCCTGTGAGGCTGCAGCCATTGTGAAATTCTGTGAGTGCTCTGAGAAGCTGAAGACTTCCCGTTGGCCAGCTTCCCAGGAGCTGTGCAGGTGACAAGCAACAATGCAGTTCTCACCAGGCCCATCCATCCGTACTTGAATACTCAGCTAAGGATGAGCTGACATAACTTCAGTTGGGCTGACCCTCTGAGTATTACTCTGCAAGAGCGAGAATTGTAGAATCAGTGGTGTAAGCTCCCACTCAGCCAACCTTTCAGGCGTAAACTTAAGTCCTGTTGACTTACACGAGAAACAAGTGTGTCTAAGAGCATTGCTGAACAAGAGATGTTATCAGGAAGTCATATTCTACTTTCAGAATTTTTAGAGAGGACATCCATTGACATTAATTGACATATAAAGGTGGGCTGAGCCTTTGTTGAATAATTTTTTCTCACCAGTCTGAAAAATATGAAACAATCTTTGCTCTTGAAAGAGACTTGTATACCTCCATCATAAGTAATACATCTCTACAGCAACCTACTTCATAATCACAGAATTGGAAGACTTTCAGCATCTTTTGTTAACTTTTTTCTTTTAAATCACAAAAATACTTTATGTAACATTATGTTGGTTTAGCTTGAAGGCCTTTCTTTTAATAATAGTTATAAGTTGTCTTGCTAAACTGTAACTTAAAAGGGTACTTGAGCAACAGAAACACCCGAACACATACTTTTTCATAAGTTCAATGCCAATGACTAAACACAGTTGTATTACCAAAAGAGTAGTTATGAGTAAATGGTAGCATGTGTTCAGAATAAGATATATAAGTGGTTTTAAAATCCATTAACTTAGACACTAAGTAAGGTGAGGAAAAAATGTATAGCATAATATAGCTATATAGCATTCCAAATGCAGGAAATAAGTGAGTTATAAGTATGGCCATAGCAAAGTAACCCCTTCATTTGAATGAGAAATATATGTTTGTATGGATGATTATAGACTTGATAAAACTATACTTATTAATCACATCTTTTATGTAAGAGAGGACTAGACTGCTCTTGGCTCAGAGCACTGTGCTCCTCATGCAGGACAAGCAAGCAGCAAACTACCATCAGGGACTAATCTGTGGCCTGGCAAGCAACAGTATGGAGAGATCAGCTGGCCCCTGGGCTGCAAAACTGATGTAGGTAGGATGGAGATCAGCTGGCCCCAGGGGTGTGAAATTAATGGAGGTAGGCAGCCAGGCGGTGTGCAGAACCTCTGGCAGTGAGGGTCACCTCGGTGACAGGTGAGATGGCTGCCTGATGTGCAGGGCCATCCCACTGTGTTCTGCCTTTCTGCTACTCACAAGCCAAAGAAGTTGTCTTGCTGGTCCAAGTTACCCATCCTTCTATCTGATATGCCTACAAAGCAGGGCAAAGAACCCATGATGGACCATAGCTCAGAGGCAAAATATTTTAAATGCTTCACAGAGGGCCAAGTGTTTGTAGTGAATGCTGAACAATCACCAGGAAAACATACCATGAATTATCACCAACAGCTTTTCTCAGCATGGGAGCTAAATGACAGAGGTGGAGATTGGCAAGCCACCACATATCTATGTAAAGCTGATAATTTATGATTTTATATCAGGAATCAAACACAGGGTGGGACCAATCATCAGTGGGTGAATTCCTTTAAATGTAGGGCTACATCTGGCTGGATGTACCTGAGAATCCAGGCTAGCATAGCACAGGGAGAAAAATTAAAGGGAACAGCTGTTGTCCCTGTGCTATTGAGATAACTTATAAATTACCTTAATCAGGATAACATACATGGTGGTGTAATGTTCGCTCTGGAGTCAAGGTGGTGAAAGTCGGAAATTACAGAAAGAAATAAAAATTAGGGACTTGTCAAACACTAAGACTGTGGAAGGCCAAGTGGTTCGTTAATTCAAATGTCCCCACGCTATTGCTGATACAATATTGGAATAGGCAAGAGGCTATTTATATGACTCTTAGAGCTGAGCAGCTCACAACCAGTCTGATACTATCAGCTCTACATACAGCCCAGACCAAACATCTGTTTTACAATAGAGTACAGGTTCTCTTCCTCACGATTACTAGTCATATTCCAGGTTGGCTCCATACCAAACAGCTGCTGGATACTTGTAACTGCTTTTTTACTTTCAGTTTGAGGAGGCTGCCAGCTTAATATGTGTATCAGCTTCTAATTCTTCCCTGTCCTGCCTGACCCACGTCTTGTGAAGTCTCTTCTCCCCTTGGGAAATCAAACAGCTGAGGAAAACTTTGCCAATATTCTGTACCACCCAATTAATTCAAACTTCCTTTGATGCCTTTCAGAGACTATAATATCTCATTGCATTTAGCTCTGAGGATCCACAGTACATGAAAGACATGGACCTGTTAGAATGGGACCTGTGGAGGGCCACAAAGAGAGATCTTGAGAACCACTGCTATGAAGACAGGCAGAGAGGGTTGGGGTTGTTCTGCCTAGAGAAAAGAAGGCTCCAGGGAAACCATACTGTAGCATTCCAATATATAAAAGGGAGCTAAAAAGAAAGCTGGAGAAAGACTTTTTACTGGGGCCTGTAGTGACAAGACAAGAGACAACAGTTTTACAGTGGAAGAAAGTAAATTTGGATTGGATGTAGTAAAGAAACTTTTTTATGATAAGGGTGGTGCGGCCCTGGAACAAGTTGCCCAGAGAAGCTGTGGATGCTCCATCTTTGGAGGTGTTTGAGGCCAGGCTGGATGGAGCTTTGAGCAACCTGGTCTAGTGGGAGGTGTCCCAGCCCATGGCAGGGAGCTTGGAACGCTGTGATATGTAATCTCTTCCAATCCAAACTGTTTTATAATTCTATAAAATGGGTCTGGTTCTGCTGTAACTGAACTGCTTGGGTTGGGTTCATTTTGATGTTTTAAAATATCATATGTGGGTGTATGCAGGTAGATAACTACATAGAAATTAAGCAGTTACACTCCCACAACAGGTGATGCAGATCAAGCCAAACAGTCTGTGTAACTCAGAGGTGATTCAATCCACCCCAAAATTTTGCCCACTAGATGTTCATTATGGCTCATCAGATGAATGGTTCAATCAATAGAAAAGAATTAATAGATATTGAATCCATTTGTCTAGTGCTTTCCACGGGTTTTGCTGTATCTGAATACGATCATGGCAGAGGTGTAAATTTTCCTGTTACAAACATGGGTGTTGTGTTTTTTTGTTTGTTTGTTTGTTTTTGAATAAGGATTCTGTCAAACACAGACTGATCCTCAGGAGTTTTTTTTCAACTTCAGTGCTAATGGTGGATTCAGTCACAACACCATTCCCTGTTCATGCCAATGCTATGCTGTTGTGATGGCTTCACCCTGATGGCTAGCTAAGCTCCATCATGGCATTTTCTCATTCTCCCTCCTCAAAAGAACAGGTGGAGCAAATATGATGAAAAAGCTCTCACAGACGGAGATATGGACAGGGAGGTCACTCAACACTGATCATAATGGGTAAAACAGACTCAGCATAAGAACGTTACTGTAATTTATTGCCAACTGCTACCAGACTAGAGCAGTGAGAACTAAAAGCAACCAAAAAACATCTTGTCCACATCCACACTCTTCTGTATTGTCCCCCATAAGAAGCACAGGGGAACGGGAAATGGGGGCTGTGGTCAGTCCTTGATGCTTCGTCTCCGCCGCTCCCTCACGGTCCCTCTCTGCCCCTGCTCCCCGTGGGGTCCCTCCCACGGGATGCCGTCCTTCCCAAACTGAGCCTGCGGGGGCTGCCCACAGGCTGCAGCTCTTAAGGAACTGCTCCCACATGGCTCCGTACCACAGGGTGCACCCATCAGGAGCAAACTGCTCCAGCACAGGTCCTCCACGGGTGGCAGCTCCCCCCAGACCCCCTGCTCCTGCGTGGGCTCCTCTTCATGGGCTGCAGCTCCGGCCCGGGGCCTGCTCCTGTGGGGGCTCTCCATGGGCCGCAGCCTCCTCCAGGCCACATCCACCTGCTCCACCGGGGGCTCCTCCACCCATGGGGGGGCTGCAGCGTGGAGATCTGCTCCATGTGGGACCCATGAGCTGCAGGAGGACAGCCTGCTCCACCAGGTGCCTCTCCATGGGCTGCAGGGGAACTTGTGCTGCCTTGTGCCTGGAGCACCTCCTGCCCTCCTGCTGCACTCCCCTTGGGGGCTGCAGGGCTGCTTCTCTCTCAGCTCTCACCCCTCTCTCCCAGCTGCTGTAGCACAGCAGATTTCCCCTTCCTTCAATCTGTTCTCAGAGGCCCAAACAGCATCACTCATGACTCGGCTCTGGCCAGGAGCAGATTCCTTTTGAAGCAGGTTAGAGCTGGCTCTGATCTGACATGGGGCAGCTGCTGGGTTTTGCCCACAGAGGCCACCCCTGCAGCCTCCTGCTACCAAAATCTTACCATCAGTGTTTGCTGCATTATATAATTCTCTAATGGCTATTCCTGTCAGGAGGACTCAGCTGATTCAATGTTTAGACAGAATCACAGAATTTCACAGAATTTCTAGGTTGGAAGAGACCTCAAGATCATCGAGTCCAACCTCTAACCTAACACTAACAGTCCCCACTAAACCATATCCCTAAGCTCTACATCTAAACGTCTTTTGAAGACTTCCAGGGATGGTGACTCCACCACCTCCCTGGGCAGCCCGTTCCAGTGCCTCACAACCCTTTCAGTAAAGAAATTCTTCCTAACATCTAACCTAAAACTCCCCTGGCGTAACTT